AAATGCCGAGAACTTGTCGCAAATGTCGAGTCTTAAATTGAAGGTGTTTACCATTTGAATCCCATGCGATGACCGTTAAGGTCACGTTTTTTTCTAACATCAGTGAACAAGCCAAAAGAGATGGGCCTGACAATTTACAATGCGGTATTCAGTTATTGTTTTCTCTTGAGGAAAGACTGAAGAGACGAGCAAATGGTAAAGAAATTTCTGACGTTCCAGTCTAAAGAGATAAAAAGAGGAGTTCCTCTGGAGGTAGTCCGTAATTTCCGAGCTGATTTTCCGGGATGTTACTGTTTATTTGAAATTTCCGAATTTTTGAGCTAACTGAATGGCAAGCACCCCAGGGTTGGAGGAAAGCGAAGGGATCGAGTGGATGTCCAATCTTGACACTTGTTTTAAATGTCAATGACAAAGTCATGCCGTACGCTTTACTTCAGGGCGGGGTAGTAAGGTTGCAAAGCTAAGGCTGATAGGGAACCACAGGCCCGGGGGGGTTACTCCCTTATATGGGCTATATAGGTATGTGCGGCCCCAAAGGGTATGGTTTTCAGCCGTTTTGGTCATAAACAGGGTATCGATTTTAGCCGATTTTGGCCATTTTGGTCATAAATAAGGTATGGTTTTTGCACTCTAGGCTTGATATGGGTATGCTTTTAAGAAGTCACTTTTTCATTATTATCGAAAAGAAAATCAACAAAAACCCTTTACTAATTATAACGCAGGTCTGAAACAGGGTTTTGATTTCAGAGTCAGGTCATCAATAGGATTTCGAATTTTTGGTCAGGTCATTAATAGGGTAGGGAATATCGCAGATTTTGGTCATAAATAGGGTAAGGGTTTTGGGAAGCGGACCGCACACCCCCACCCAATTTTTCTGGGAGTTCCCCCCCCCCGGGGGGGGACCACAGGGGACAACGACATCAACGTTAGTAGTAGTTTCAGTTCTTTCAAGTTGTCGTGAATGTCAACGACAAAGTAAGGTCCTTCGATTCATGACATGATCAAGGAATAGGGTGGTTGCTTTAAATGTAGTGAGGTTTGCACTGCATAACTCGGGCGCAACCATGATGGCGCGAGTGAATTCATACAAAGTGTCAGGCGCCTCACAACCAAACTGCACGTTAATGGTCTGGGAACAAGTTGGCGAGTTCAGGCTTGACTCGAACATAAAAGAACTCAAGATTGTGAAAAATATTTTCCTCCCAGTATCCGACGTTTATTAAAGCACAGTAACTGAATGCTTTTGTTTTGTTTGTTACCTCTTTTCACTGCTAAATGTCGTGATGTTTGTAAATTTAGGCCATATAATATTTGTACCTCAGGAAAACACACGATTGCGCATGACAACTCGATAGTGTGCTCATGCGCTTTTCTAAGAGTCATCCCATAGTATTTTTTATGGCGAGGTGAAAAGCATCATTTGCGACGATATTTCTTACTGTACGTGAATTAATTTCCGTCCATTTTCTCCATTATTGCGGAATTTCAACGCCGAATGTCTTAGCAGTTCTTCCAGCTACGAAATTATGCTTCTTAAGAGCGACGCAGCGAGGTAATGGCGGATAAACGGAAGCTTCAAGGTACGACGAGTGCATGGCTTTTATGTGATGTTTTTTTAGCTTGCATACTGTGTCGAACTTCCTTTTCTTATGCTACTTGTATAATGTCAGGTGAAATTGACCGTTGCCTAAAGAAAGTTCAAGAAGGCGTAGAAACATTTGAAGACATCTGGCAAAAGGTATTTGGCAAAGTTACAAGTCAAAAAGTTCCAACGCGATGCTATTCTGAGCACGTTGAGCTCACCCTTGGACAGTTTGTACCGTTCTAAATTGTGACGTATTCTTTCAGGTTCACAATGCGACAAACGCAAATCAAAAAGAGAAATATGAGGCAGATCTTAAGAAGGAGATCAAGAAACTACAGGTTTGTGTAAAACTTAGCTTTTATTATTGTTTTGCCGTCGTTGTATCATACAAACTCTGCCTACAAGTATCCTGTCCAGTTTCGATTCGTTTTGCCGCCAGTTTGAAATTTAAAGTTTTCCGGTACTTCCACAGCGATTGCGAGACCAGATTAAGACTTGGATGGCGTCCAACGATATCAAGGACAAAAGAACTCTCCAGGATAACAGAAAACTCATTGAGACGGTACACATCTCGTACATAGTTATTTCAAAATGGCGTCCAAGAGTGAAGGCGCCATTTTAATAATAGTTTAAGTTAATTTTAAATTGCTTTGCATTACTGAGGATTAACTTTGTGCATTGTGGAAGTTGTTTAATGATGTTGAGTGGGGAATTTTTTTGAATTAGCTTTCAAGGAAGTGGTTATATCTTTTATAATTTGGTTTTATTTTTGTACTTTTTTAGCAAATGGAAAGATTTAAAGTTGTTGAGAGAGAGACTAAAACAAAGGCATATTCTAAAGAAGGTATTCAATTGATTAACTTGTTGTTGTCATTCTAATATATAATCATGGTACACAATGTATATTAAAAGGCATACCATTAACCATCAAAGTATATTTCTTTCAAATATCGATTTTAAGGATTGTAGAGATGAGAAAGATTCACTTTAATTAACTTCACATGTTTACCATGTTGTTGAAGTTTTCTAAGAACAATGCAATCATTTTTCAATAAAGACAATATTACCTGAGGGAATGAGAAATATTGAAACTGTTAATGTATGTAATGGTGAACAGCTGCTGACTGCATCCCAGTTTTTGTGTTGATGTCATCAGGTCTGTAGTACATGTATAACTGGTCAGTATAAAATACAGACTGCAGACTGGATATAAAACATGGACTGAGGTGTAAAAGCCTGGACTACGGAATTGGTCTAAAACACAGACTTGGGTATAGAA